TGAAACTAATATTTCTTTAAATTTCAATTTAAGGCTTCCTGCAAACCACAAAATAGTCTAAACAACCAGGCATTGACTGACTTTTTGAATTTTTGTATTACGTTATTTGATCTGTCTGAGAATTTATCAATAAGAGCTAAACCTATTTCCTTATAAATTTCTTTTAGGAAAACTTCAACTTAAAGAAAAGGCGGGAAGAATGCTAATTGGTCTGTAGTCTTGCGGAAGCAATGAGGATGAGAATTCAAAATTAAATGTACAAAAAATTTAAATGAACTAAAAAATTTTAAACAGGCTTTTAAAACAGAGATTCGAAAAAAATAGTAATAATAAATGTACTTATTTAAAATAAGAATTTCCTGGTTTTATATAAATTTAAAAAATGATTGGTATAATAGTACCATAGTCAATGATAGTACCTACTGTATAAGCATTTGAAATAATGATCATTGATATGCCATGATCTGGCAATGAATCTAGCCATTTCCTAATTTTGTTCAATATAAAAAAAGTCTTAGGTCTTAGGCCTAAGGGTCTTACCATGATGTAATAGCTTATTCCATATACAGTAAATTTGCTTAAACCTTGAAGAATGTATGCTTTTAAGAAATTTCATAACTAATCCAACAATACCAAAATTGTAAAAAATCAATTCATAAAAAACTAAGTTACCCAAGGTATTTGAGGTAGAAAAATATGCATCAGGCTTTAGAAACCTGTACTTTCTAATTGTTTTAAGGGGTTTACCAAGTTGGTTGATTCTTAGCTGTATAACTCTCTGCTACTCTACATGTCTTAGTTATCGTGTCAACCAAGACCTTTAGCTGTGTAAATTGAGCATCACACTGCATTTTGCTGTTGCAGTAGTGGTGTTTTACCTTGTGGTAGTGTGTTTTTCTTTTGTTATTTGCAACAATAGATTAAATACCCCCGTCGCAGCAAACCTGCATACTAAGCGAATTTCCATTTACCCGGCTTGATTTCTACTAAAATATTCCCTATAAATTTTCAGATTTATTTCCTATTTAAACAACATTAATTTTAGTGAGTAGTTAGGTTTGCTGCTACGGGGAAGATATTGAGGTGTGTTTTTTCAATTGAAATATTGATAGCTTTGTATGAAATAAACCAAATTGCCAAATTTGATTAAAATATATCCATAAACAAGCAAACTAGAACAGTTTATTTATTCTCCATAAGAATAACATGGGAATTTTAAATTTACAATTTTTTTAATTTTCTCCGTAGTCAATGAACATTCAAAAACACTTCAATATACTAAATTATTTGTTTTTTTAAGCTCTTCAAAATGGTCTAGAGAGAAATTTAGAAATTTAAAGTTTTTAGGGTCAAAAATGAGAAAAACCCATTTTTACCATAAACCCCTGATCCCATGGTCCGATTATGCTGGTTCGCGAACTCGTTCGAATAAATGTAGGTTTACACGTTTGTACCAAATTTAATCAAAATCGGATCAATTTTGCTCGAGTTATCGCGCTAACGGACACACATATAAATATATATATATATGAATTTGAACGGATGGTGTTTTTGGCCTCTGGGGACCTCAAAACAAAAAAGTAAATCGGTCCCGGGTCTAGGTCTTACCATGAGACCTACGGTAATAGCTTATTCCCTATATGGGAAATTCGCTAAAAAGTCAGTTGAATGACAAAACATGGTTTGAACTTGGTTGTCTCAATTGGTTTGAAATTTTCTTATTGTGTGTGTGCGAGCACGCGATTTTATTATTAATGTTGACGACCTTCAAATGAAACAACAAGACTAGTGCTGGCCTAATGATGACTCAGATAGATGTGAGTTTAACTAGTCGCCTACTGCAAAATTATAGATCACATTATTGCAGGCATTTACAGTGATTGTTTGTACACAGGAAGGTGTGAGCATCAACCGCTCCTTGCTGACTCTGGGCAAAGTGATCTCCTCTCTGGCTGAGAACAAACGAGGAGGCTTCATTCCCTACAGAGAGTCTGTCATCACTTGGCTGCTGAGGGTGAGTTTTTAGTTTCTAGTTATGATTGATATAAAACCATTTGGTTTGTTCAGGTAATAGGTATACTTTTTTTCCATGCTCATATCTATAAACATATCTGCAAACATTCATATCTATAATATTAGTTCCTTCCATCCAAGTCAATGACTTGATCGGTAATGAACTAAAATTATTAACAATACTTGTAATTTGGGTTGTGTTAAAAAATACCCCCGCTGCAGCAAACCTGCCGACTGGGAAACTAATAAAGTGTGTTTTTATTAAAATATCAATAGCTTAGTTTGAAATAAATAAATCCGCCAAGTTTGATCAAAATATATCCATAAACAAGCCAACTACAACATTTTACAATATTCTCCATAAGAATAACATGGGATTTTTAAATTAAAAATTTTTTTTAATTTTCTTCATAACCAATTGTACAAAATCACTTTGATATACTAAATTATTTGTTTTTTTAAGCTCTTTAAGGTCTGGATAAAGATTGATAAATTTTGTGTTTTAAGGGTAAAAAATGAGAAAACCCCATAAAACCCGCCATTCCCATGGTTCGATCATGCTGGTCCGCGAACTCATTCAAGTTTATCCTGCCATAAATATAACACAGCATATAATATAGTTATATGCGGTTATACCTTCAAAACGAAATTCTATCAAAATTGGAAAAAAATTACTCAAGTTATCATCTGGACGGTCACATTTTACCCTAAAAGTGTCCATAGTATTGGTCTTAATAACCGCCCATTTATTGCGCAATCGCAGGGTTTTATTAAAATGTATCTTAGAAACTTAAAAACAATGTAAAGTATACTGTTTTATATATCATTTTGTTTGGAAAATCATGGGCTTAAATGTAACATATAAAACATTACAAAAAAATGTTCAAAAATTTTTGTGGGGTTAACATTTCTCAAAAATTATAAAATAAATGAAAAAAAAATTATGTTTGCGCTCAATAAATTGTTATAATTTATAGGTCTAAAAATATTTTAAAATAGCCACTTTCTTCAAAATTTTATGAGGATTCCAAAAATATAATAATATAAGGAAGTAGGTTTGCAAATAAATAAGTTATGGGCAAAAAACAGATTTCGTACATAGCGTTTAGCTAAGAATGCATAGCCTAACCATAGCTAGGAATCTGGCCGATAATTTACATCAATATCACTACCTACTTCTTCAGGATCATCAACCAGCCCTTCAAAATCACTTAAATCTTCTTATAATGCACCGTCCACGTATATCACTACTTTTGATTTTTAACACTAAAACAATGATAAACGTAATAAAACACATCAGTCATCGGTGCAAGGTTAACCAAGTTGTTTACAAATACGCACGTCAGCTGTCTGCTACAATATTTTCGGGACTAAAATGAAAAGCGTCTAGAAACAGACATCAGGAGAAAGCTCAGAATCTGCTTAAAACAACGATACCAATCTCGATCCAGTTAAATCTGATTCAGTCAGTCCCAGAGCCTTTGCCGTCGACGCATAACACCACAGCGGCCGTGTTGTGCGTCGATTAAGCGACGCTTAACATTCGGAGGGTTAAATATACATACCTATATAAAAATTTGAACGAATGGTGTTTTTGGCCTCTGGGGACATCAAAATGAAAAATTAAATCGAGCCCAGGCCTAGGTCTTACCATGAGACCTACGGTAATAACTACTTCCCTATAGGGAAATTCACTAACACCCAGTATAACAAACCACTTGCCTTGATACATTGTTTGTTCGTTATTTACAATTGATTGACATGTTGAAATCAAGAGCTGAAGTGTTTTTATCAGAATTGATATTTCGCAATGTTCTGCAATGCTAGATAACAGTTGTCACTGTCAATTTCATTTAAAAAGTTTTAATTTTGTTCATGAGTATCATTTTAGCGAATTTTCTACATAGTGAATAAGCTACAGTATTACCTACCATAGATCTCATGGTCATGGACCCAAGAGTTTTGATGTCCCCAGATGCGAAAAACACCATCCGTTCAAAATTAATATATATGTATAGAAATCCGTTAGCACGATAACTTAAGAAAAAAATCATCCGATTTTGATGAAATTTGTTAGAAACGTGTAAACCTAAGTTATTCAAACGAGTTCGCGAACTAGCATGATCAGACTACAGGAATAGGGTTTTATAGGTTTTCCAATTTTTTACCGTCAAAATATAAAATTTAACAATTTCTTTCCAAACCATGTTGTAGAGTATTAAAAAAACAAATAATTAAATGTATTGATGAATTGTTGTACAATTAAAGTTTATGGAGAAAATAAAAAAAAACTGTAAATTTATATTTCTTAAATGTTATTCTTTTGGAGAAAAAGTAAAGAGTTGTACTTTACATATTTATGGATATATTTTGATCAAATTTGGCCAATTCTGTAATTTCGTCCAAGCTTTTGATGTTTTGCTAAAAAAAAAACAAAAAAAACACATTACTACCTTCCCTGTAGCAGCAAACCTAAGTCCTCGTTTAACCTAATGTAATAAAAAAAAAATATATGTCAAGTTTAAGGAAATGTTTTAATGGAAAGCTAATCAAGTTAATGGAAATCCTCCAAGTCTGCAGGTTTGCTTTGGAGGGGGTATTTTTCATGTTTTTAAGTCTAAGTTTTGTTTCCATTTTTCTTTAATTAATCTGATTCCCATCCTTTTCATAAATTCCGACCCACACAATAGTGTTTCCACATAATTAATTAAAGAGCAGAACTTCACATAGAGACATGGTCATTTACTTATACTTTTTCCACCCTTGCTACACTCATGATCGTCCAACTTAGAACAAAACAAGCACAGCTGTCTTATAAATATGTTTAATAGATTCGTTTCAAGCTTCTTTTTTAACAACTAGGCACATCAAGGTTCTTACTTCCTCCGTTATGTACCTGCATCAAAAGAATACAAAGATTATTTGTGGGCAATGCAAAGCATTAGGCCTAATCGGCTCAAGGAAGTTTAGGAAAATAAAAATTCTAATGAGGTATAAAAATATTTATTATAAAATACAAAATCCTATTAAAATACTTAAGCGCTATGGCAGGATGAAATGCAATGAAAAGCTGGAAATACAAAGAGCAAAGAATATCTAATTTCCAAAGTTTACAATTTAAGAGTTCACTAAGATTTAGAGTGCTGATTATATTTGATGCAAAAATGTATGTTAAACTTAGCTACAAACAGTTAAGTAGTTTGTCACTTTTACATGTACAGTAGGGATGGTCAGGTCTTGAAATTTCAGGAAATTTTCGGGAAATTTTAAATCTCGTTACACGAGACGAGATTTCTTTTTGGCCGAGATTTTGATCGAGACGAGAATTAAAAAAAAAAAAATTAAAAACGCCTGCAGAAAGTCAATGCAATACCCGCAATACAGGAGCGCGTTGTAGTTGCGTTTCCTTTGCGAAGGCGTTTTTGTTTAATTAATTCTTTAAATGTAAATATTACTTTAATTATTTTAATAATATTACTTTAATAACATTAGAGAAGTTTTGTTAAGCGTAAGCAGTGTAAGGAATGTTTTATTACTATAAAAAAAGTCAAAACAAGTAACTATTTTATAAAAATTAATATTACTTTTATTTTATGATTTATTTTATTTTAGGATAAGTTGAACTCTATCCTAACTGATATCACTATGTTTCCTAATCGTAGGCATTTATAATATGTAAGGCGTGATTAATAAAAAAAAATGTTATGCTGATGTTTTTTTAATAAAAGTTTGTAAATATTCTTGCCTATTATCATTATTTTTGTATTTAAACAGTCATCTAACAATGTTACAAAATCAGGTAAAGATTTTGAACGTGCATTTCCCGTTGTGTATGAGAAGGCAAATCCCGTCTCGAAATTTTATGAGGAATAAAAAATCTTGTCTCGTCTCGTCTCGAACTAAAAATCCAATCTCGTCCATCCCTAAAGTAATACACTTACAAAATATGAATCTGAACAAATTTATTGAAAGAAAAGGGGTGATAAATACTGTACCCTCCACTTATAAGTTTATAAATAAAATTACCCTTAACCACTCTTAGTCTACTGTATTTACATCAATCAATATTTACAATATTTTTAACAATCAGTCTTAAATACTATTATACATCTCCTAAAGTGTTATAACTTAAAACATTTATTCTATAATTTAGGAACCCTTTACTTTTTACCCTTTTTAGTTGACGGTGATGTGGATTACAGTAAAGTTTCTTCACTAATTAAAAAATGCAGCCTCTTTATTTGAAATGCCAGCATGTTTATCTATCTAGGTCACAGCTGCAGTAAATTTCTTAAAAATATTCCTACTTGAGAACGCTTACTAATAGTGTTTTGAAATAATCTTATGATTAGAGTCATTTGCTGTACTTAGACCAAGTCTCGTATAATAGTACCTTTGAGGTATTCAGACTTTAAATGCATTTTTAATTCATCAATATTGTAAAAAATATCCAATATCAACCACTAATACAAAACAATGAGCTCAGGAAGAGCTTTGCTCTACAACTTGATATATGAATATGTCAGCTACACATTTTTGAATTCTTCATCTTTGTCCAGTAATAAAATCCATCAAAACCTGGTAGTTAAAACAGAAATAAAATACTATGAAAATAAAGACATCATTAGGCAACGTGTCTTTTCTACCTCGACACTACTCTGTCAGTTAATTATCAACACTTAACTGCAGTATTCATTGAGGGAAACCTTCTTTTATAATTCTGAAATCAAAGTACAACTAATAGAAGAATAAATAAGAATGTCCATGTTCTTGAAACAATTAGGTATCATTTATGATTAAATAAAAACATAAGGGGGAGTTATTTCGTTGAAACATGTTTTGTTGGTCAAATTGGTGAATCAGTTGTACTACTTCTACCCTTAAAATTGCACTGGTTATCATAGCTTTTTGACAAGTGAAAAGGGAACTAGATTTTACGATGAACCATTTATGTTTCTCTCACTATGATACTGAGTTAATTATGAGATAATACTTTTTCAAATCACCTAGGCATGTTTGCCGTTTGTAGTTATAATACTTTCAGGCGGTGTAAAGTGTTTAACAATGTAAAATCATGAGCAGTTCTTGACAAAATCTGACTTTGTTATGTCAAGTCATTTCAACCTAAGTTTTACTTTAGCGTTTCTTTGCCTCTTGTTTATCTTGCATTTGCTTTTCCTGAGGCTCCTCTTCATCCTCCTCTTCCTTGATATCATTGTCGGAATGATCGTGGGATTTGCTTCTGATGTACTTCATCAAGCTCCTCCTCTTCCTCTCCTGACAAATCTTGCAAGGCTCTTTCTCCTTGTTCTTCTGATGAACCTTTTGATTCTTAGTTTGATCATCTGGAAAAAAGAAACCACTGTTAATACAGTACTGTATAACCTTGATCAACCATCAATCTAAAAATGATAAATGAGAACACTATGCAGTCTAACGGAATTAAAACAATTTTCTAGGCGTTGCTACTTAGCGTCGTACCGTAGTATTTCTGAATAATGGAAGTATGTACCTCAATAAAAGAATAGACATAACTGTAGGTACCTTGATAACCTTAACATGGTATGGAATATTTTTTTTAGAAAATCAAGTTACAAAATTGGTAGTTCCATTCCACCATTAAGTTGACGTTGACACTGTCTCGTCAATTAATTGGCCTACATATTAGTATAATGTCTGTTTTGATGAAAAAGAAATTCAAGGACTGTTCAGGAAGTTAGGAATAAAGTAAAGATTTTGTAAAGAAAAATTTGTGATTATATGAAAGAACAATTAAATACTAATGTACATGTATATACAACAGACAATAGACAATGGCAAGAGATATTAACTATTACTCCTTCTAATGCACCAACACTCAGAGGTCTCTTAATAAGTGATTGAGCGAAACATACAAATCATTAGCCTTGACAAGGGTCGTCTGTACTCATTGCAGTCATTACCTACAACTCGAGTTAAGTGTGCATCAGTTCTTTGGCTTTTTAAAACAAATAATTTTGACTAATCGTTACCAACCATGCTACCTTGTTTGGCAATATTATTGATCAGGAAGATTAATAGGCAACTATTAATAAAGTAACAGTAAGAAAACATTTTGGGCTAAGGTTTATCATGGAAAACGGACACATATGAATGTTAACTGTATTTAGAATACTGACGTTTAAAATAGGTTATCACGGGACATGCAAGTGTGTTGATTAAACCATAAAACGTCCTTAGCTACCTGACTCAAGACCTACTTAATCACCCTTGCGTTATATTTAGTTTTTGTATAAAAAAAACACCTGTCTTAGGAATACATTAAGGAAAAAGGCATGTATACACAATTAACTAACCTATGAGAAGAGTTCCAGGCAGTAGCACAAACAAAAACCGTTCTTTCCTTTTTTGTCAAACACACTAGGCTAGATCATGGTGGGTAACCAAACATTTAAAATTAAAGTAAATATATTTTTAATGTATAAATAACCTGACCTAACCTAACCTGGTGTGGCCAGTATAACAGAAAAAACCTGGTATAGTCAGTATATCAGAAAGTAAAAAGAAAACTGTATGTTAATTAATTGTATTGTGAACTTGTTGTGTGCTTTAGACTGCCTGGAACTATTTTCATAGGTAAGTTAGTTATGTAGCCTATCCATTCATTTTCCTTACTGTATTCCTATGGGTTTTTTAATATTGTATGACCTATTGGTTTCCTACTCAAGCAAATTCATTCCTAAAAGATCATTCTTTAGGCAAATAGAGTCTGTCTTAGAGATATCCCTCAACAAAAAACCCATCCAAAGGTATTTACCTCAAGAGGAAAAAAACTTCTAGAAGTACATATTCTAATTTTGTCAGTTAGAATTTCAGTTTGTTAGTTCATTTAACATATACACAAGGTTTTTTTATACAATTTTGTGTAAGTGTTTCATTTTTTTCGATTTGAGTAATTCATTGTTAGACATAGACATATTTTATTCATGAATTTGGTACAAATTAGTATTGTTTTACGTATTAATCAAGTTTATCCAAGTTTGTATTCTATAATACTGATTAACATTGTTTTTTATCAACAAAATTTACCTCTCTTTCCATACATTCATTATTAATGAGCTTTTTAAACAAATTGTCATTTGAAAAGAGAGAGTTGGAACATCAACATAATAACATAATTACAGGATGTGCATCCTGATCTACCAAAGAGCCTGAATATTGAATAGCCTCTAAGACACCAAAACACTTTCTATTGTTGTAGATATTAATGTGTTATTAATGAGGTGATATGTAGGGCGCTGTTACCATATGTTGTGTCTTTGGATCCTATCTTTGTATCCAATTTCTTAATGATACTGCAACAGGTACTATATATGATAGCATATTTTCTACTTAAGCTCAGCCATATGTTCAATTTTTTTTTACCAACACTTCCTTATGAGAATCCTTCTTACAGATTTCTTTTAAAGTTTGCAGCCTCAGTAGTTAGGGTAAATTTATTTTGTCCTATTAGAAACAGAGCACAAGAAAAAAAATTAGCATAAAATGTGGTGATTTTAAAAATAATGCACTACATAAATACTGAAAGAACAAGTTTAGTGCACAGTTCTGCTGAATCTACTGTAGTTCTATCTCTGTCACCCGCACTAGCTACTCTCACCTTGTAGACAAGACAGTGTCGCAACTTAGGCCTACTGAGGTATTTTTAGTCAGGGACGCTATTACTGCTCTGCACTGGTAATCATTCATAGCAAAAATGTGATAGAGAATTGCAGGTCTAAGTGGAAAGTTCAATGTTGTTCCTTAAAATAAAGTTTTGTGCAACCTTATGGGTGATACATTCTGTGTCTTTTCCTCAGAATTGATCAAATAAAATATTTTTTTCTATTTAAACTTGGTGCCAACTTTTGCCTGTTTTGGAAATTTTACTTTTAGCATTTATTCAATCATCAACGGAGTAAAATTCGTATGAATTACAATTAAACAACAATAACACTTTTAAAAAAAGTGCAGGGTGTCTATCCAGTCAGGAATTCCGGAAATTCAGGAAAAAGTGGGAGATTTTTAAGGGGGGGGGGGGGAAAGCCGTGAAAAAGTAATGAATTTTGGCAGAACGGGTCCCAAAACTTCAAACAAATTTTGGGATCGTGTATTCCTGATCATTGGGACAGGATTAAATATGATACGCGATTTTCTCGGCACGCGATTTGTTCCGATCGTCGGTGACTTGCAGCATCACGATGATGATGTTTCCGCGATCTCAAAAAATATTGTCGGTATTGCGGCTGCCGATGATGATGTCTTCACGATTGTGAGAGATTTTCACAATTATTCCGCAAACCCAGGAGATGATGATACATCCGTGATCGCAGAGATCTTCACCCTTGCACCCTGACTGCGAGACAAGTCGAAGATGACGCCGTGAACGTGGGATATGTTAACAATCATTCATGCGTGGGACATGTTGAAGATGGTACCGTGACAGCAGGACAAGTCGATGATACCTGACCGCGGGACATGTTGACAATGATGCCGTGACCGCGGGACATGTTGACAATGATGCCGTGACCGCGGGACATGTTGACGATGGTTCCGTGACCATTAGACATGTTGACAATGGTGCCGCAACCTCAACATATGTTGACGATGGTGCTGTGACTGCAGGACATGTTGACGATGGAGCCGTGACCACGAGACGTGTTGACAATAGTGCCGCGACCTCAACATATGTTGACGATGGTGCTGTGACCGCAGGACATGTTGACGATGGTTCCGTGACCATGAGACATGTTAACAATAGTGCTGCGACCTTAACATATTATGTTGACGATGGTGCTGTGATCATAGGACATGTTGACGATGGTTCCGTGACCATGAGACATGTTGACAATAGTGCCACAACCTCAACATATGTTGACGAGATGGTGCTACTTACTTTCCGTGTCCGGAAATCAGACTTCGCTTTCCCAAAAAATAAGCCACCAATATGGCTTTGTCATTCGCATGTAAAAGATCATCTAATGTGCAAGACTGGTCTAGGCGTGGGCAGATCAGCAGATGGCCAGGACCCTGAACAGCACCACACGCGCACAAGATGTTTTTTTCGCCTGGTAAGAGACCCCATTTCTGCATGTTTGTCTTGCATTTTGGTACCTCGACCCTAATTCGATTTAGGGTCTTCCACACCGTGTAATGAAGGCCTCCACCAGGAGCCAGTTCCTCTCTGGTATGGGAGGGTTAGTCAACGTGGCCTCCCACCTTGACACCCGATTGCTTGAGAGTGATCCATCCAGGACTCGTGTCCGTGATAAAAAGCTCTTTCTGGACCGAAGCCGTCGCTCTGCAGGTTGGTGGCCGTGTAATGGGTGACGAGGGTCTGTTTCTTGCTTAGTCCTTTCTGCGACGATGGTGCTGTGACCGCAGGACATGTTGACGATGGTTCCGTGACCATGAGACATGTTTACAATAGTGCCGTGACCTCAACATATGTTGACGATGGTGCTGTGACCGCAGGACATGTTGACGATGGTTCCGTGACCATGAGACATGTTGACAATAGTGCCGCGACCTCAACATACGTTGACGATGGTGCTGTGACTGCGGGACATGTTGACAATGGTTCCGTGACCATGAGACATGTTGAATATAGTGCCGCGACCTCAACATATGTTGACGATGGTGCTGTGACCGCAGGACATGTTGACAATAGTGTCGCGACCTCAACATATGTTGACGATGGTGCTGTGACTGCGGGACATGTTGACGATGGTTCCGTGACCATGAGACATGTTGAAAATAGTACCACGACCTCAAAATATGTTGACGATGGTGCTGTGACCGCGACATATGTTCACGATGGTTGGGAATTTTTTTTATGTTAATGAAAAATCAGGAAAAAGTTGGGAATTAATTTGAGAAATCCGGTAGATACCCTGAGGTAGGTTAAACTCTTAAAATTTATTGGAATATCTCAGGAATTAAACTTTCACTTTGGTAACTTTCTTTAAAAGATTAGTGTGTTAGTTAACTTACTAAGATATAATCCGTTTTAACATTGATAAAACAGAAAACAACGGTTTTAGTAAGCGTTTCAGCAAGAAGTGACCTTCATAGACGTTGGCATGAAAATACCAGTTTTATTTCATTGCTAAATCAAATATAGCACCTAAACTGTGTAGAGAAAACACTTAAATTCAAGGTGCTTTTAGAGAAAACCACACGAGTACCACAGTTTGGCTACACCACATCAGAGCGATCAGACCTGAGTAAACGGTTTGATTCCATCAGAACTGCCAAGTATTTTAAATAATACCTTGTGTTTGTAGTATAATAATCATGAACAAACTTGTGTAATTTTATGATAATC